CCCCGGTACCGCATTCAAGCCGTGAAGCAAGAACACAGCAACAAGACCTTCATCTGTACAACTCATCTACAACGGCATTATTAGCATGTGTAGCCCAATTCCCGTTTATTAAAACAAGAACAGAGTTGTTGGATACCTATAGTGAACCAAAAAGAACACTACAAGAGTCGATACTTGGTTACGCTTAAATCTATGCAATTTCACACTCTTTTCACCCTCTTACCAGAGTACTTTTCAACGTTCCCTCACGGTACTTGTTTACTAACGGTCTCGTGCATTATATTTAGCCTTAGAGGAAGTTTATCCCCTATATTCAGATTGTACTATCAAACAATCCTACTCGTAGATACCATACCGTACAGACCTGAATGAATCGCTAACGGGCCTAATACCCTCTATGGATTCACTTGTGAATACCTTTACAGGTAATTTCACGATTCTCAGATCAAAGTATAGCATCCTCACCCTACAACTCCAAGGTAAAACCTTGGATTCAGGATGGGCTTTTCTCTTTTCCCTCGCAGGTACTAGGAGAATCTCTGTTGATTTCTTTTCCTCCCCTTATTAATATGCTTAAATCCAGGGGGTACCCTCTCACATTAGAGGCTAGTTAAATAAAAGATTGACCATTTGAAAAAATTTCAAATGGGACAATCCGGTTTTCTCAAAGAGAATCCGGCATAACCAGCTAGGGCGTAAAAATCTATTGATTAAATACACCTTTTACCAGTATCAATTGATATAAAACTAGCACTCTAACGTAAGTACCTCTTGCGAGGTCCAGACTGTGTTCACCAATTTGATGAATCTCGAGGCTAACGAATCTCATTACATATCGCTTTTTGCCGCGGGCTTCATCGATGCACGAGCCGTGTGCTCCATTGCACAGAGTTATTTTTTGTAAATGGAAAAAAGGTTTTGTTTCTTGTTTTTCACACAATCTATCCCATTAATATCATCATGATCGCCATCTCCGTTGACGAATGAATAATGAATCATCAGGCTTTCTGTGTTTGGATGAAGAAGAGTTGAATGATTTCGTTTTGACATTTTTTTCGTGTGACAGCTGTCATCACAACCTCTTTGTCATTCTTCAATTCATACATTTGAGAGCCCGTCAATATGAATTCACAGTCTAAAAGCAAATCTTCTGCTACCAATTGAAGAGCCTTCTTATTGTGTTTGATTGCTTTCAACTCAATTTCCTTGTCGTGTTCAATGAAGGTTATTGAATGGCCTTGCTACACCTACTCGCAAGAGACACCAAACATGAATCCAATCTCTCAGCAATGCGGTTTTGCAAGCAATCTCAACTGCGACCATGAATACTCATCCATCAGTGGCTACAATGGTTGCATAGAATCCACATACAGCAGCTTAAACAAATTCTCGATAGTTCTCGAGAGTATTGGGTAAATATAAAAAAACCATTTTGGAACCATCCTATAAGCAAATTCATTGTCTTTTTTAAATTCAAGGAGGATGAAAAAATTACAAAATTATTTTACAAAAGCACTTCTTTGTCATTAAGAATGTTTTGACTTGCAAATTGTAATGCACTTCCCTTTTGTTGAACCACTTTCAATTCAATCGATTGTGTGAGATTAATCCTTGAATGAAACAAAAAGAGAAATGAACCAGTTCAACAAAAATTTAGAGCATCAAAAAGAGCTCTCTCTCTCCAGAAAAACCATAATATTTTCGAGAAGAAAGACGTTAGTTTCGAAGCTTCATCTACATCACAACCTATGCGATTTTGGAAAACCATTGACTGTACTTCTACAGGATCTTTTCTGTAGGATTACTTAAACTCGACTTTCGAGTCAACCTGACCTTTGAGGTTAACCAAGATGAAGACTCTGTAGTCACTTGTTCTGAGCATGATATCGAACTGGAGACATGTTGATTCAGGTTTCCTCGTTCATAGATGATTGCTGCGTTCCTTTCCTTGCCAAGGATTGTGAATGGGGGACAGGTGAACATACAGATTGGTTCCTTTTTTTGTATTAAGAGAAATTTGTTTACGATTGAACAAGCCTTAGGAGAGCTTGACAGAGCAGGTAGGAAATTGAATGTGAAGATATTAATCACTCATTTGTAACTTTAATCAAATCCACTAATGAATTGGATTCAATATTTTTACAAGTTAATAACAGTTCCCAAATAAGCATCATGATAACAATAGTGCATTCTCGCTCGATATAATTCATCACTATACTCCAAAACATAACCATTGCATTTAAGAGCTTCCATCACAAGTTCTGAATCTTGCTGCAATTCCTTGCTTGCATATTTCAATGCAAATCCATTATTCTTCACTGCTTCTAACATGAGTTCTTTATCACATAAAATAGGATTCATATCATTATTTCGAGAGGATACAATGGAAAGACTATTGATTTTCATGATTTGAAACAAAAATTCCTTGTCAGATGTGATTTCATTTGGCACACAATTTAGAATGCCATGTTCACATTTAACAACTTGTAATAAGAATCGTTTGTCATACAAAAGGTCTAAGGAAGCACCAACTATAGAACCACCATGTTTGATCGTTTCTAATACAATTTCTTGATCACCTTTCATCATTTCACTTGCGTACCTGAAAGCAAAACCATATGTTCTAACAGCACTCAATACCACTTCTCTATCGTTTTTCAAGTCATCTGATGCAAATACAAGGGCATAGCCATTTTGTCTGACAGCGGTCATCACAACCTCTTTGTCATTCTTTAAATCATCAGATGCAAATTGAAGAGAACGTCCATGTTGATTGACAGCATTTAATACAAGCTCTTTGTCTTTCTTCAATTCATCAGAGACATATTTCAATGCAAAGCCTTCCTGCTTAACAGTAAGTAAGGCAATTTCTCGATCACACTTCAAATCATCAGATGCGAATTCAAGTGATAAACCATCATTCGTAACTGCTTTCAAAACAATTTCTCGATCATTCTTGAGTTCATCACTTGCAAATTCAAGTAGCCATTCATATTCTTGAACAAGTTTCATCACGATATCTTTTTGTGAATAATCAAAAGAATTTAAATGAGAAAATTCTGGAAATATTAATTTGAGAATTGTCAACATGAATTCACAATCTTTCAATAAATCTTTTGAAATGAATTGAAGAGCCTTCTTATTTTGTTTGATTGCTTCCAATACAATTTCCTTGTCTGATATCAAATCACAGTAAACATCGGCGAGTGCTTCACCATTTTGCTTAACAGCAGTTAAAACAATATCTCTACCAAATTTTCCAAGTGTAGCATGTATAGGCAACAAAGCCAAACCATTCTGTTGTACAATCTCCAAAGCAAATTCCTTTTCATATTGAAAGTCTAATGAACAGTGGTACCATGCATCTGGAGATTGTTTTACAGCTGTCAATACCACTTCTTTATCATTTCGAATGGTGGAACTTGCAAATTTAAATTCGTGTCCATTTTGTTGAACCACTTTCAACACAAACTCTCGATCTTGTTTTAATTGTGTGGATGAATATTCCAATCCATAACCATACTTTTTGATGTGATTCAAAACAAATTCCTTGTTATTCATAAACTCAACGGGAAAGAAACGTTTATATTTCAATTCACGATTGAAGAGCCATTTCTTTTTTCCTTCTTGTTGTAACGAGAATTTCTTTTTCAATAATAATTCCCATCTCTGAAGATCATTGAGCTCACAATTTCCACCAAGAGGAGAGTAAGAATAGGAATTTGAAAAATCAAGAATGATCAATTTTACATTTTCATCATCATTTCTCATACTGACAAAGTTGTGGGATTTATGTTTTTTCATTAATTTTTGTTGCTTGTTTTTTTCATAATCTTGTTCATTCATATCATCATGACGGTTAACGTATGAATCATCCTCCATCATGATTTCCGTGCTCCGAAGGTCGAGTGCTGAATGAATATGTCTGTATTCTCGTTTGGACATTTTTTTTGATCAAATCAAAAGCTTACGAGCTTGTAATTGATTATTTCCCAAAAAAGCTCAATTGTAACAATCTTCCATTCGTTGTTGATACCATTCTTCTCTGTCTTTGAAAGCATAACCATATAGCTTCTCTCACAATTTCAGCATCACGTTGATTTTCTTCACTTGCAAAACGTTAAGCGCAAATCCATTATTCCTGACAGCTTCCAACATGAATTCCTTATCCACACTCAATTGACCAAATCCAAAGACTCCAAGACTATTGAATGGCTTTTAACATGAATGCTCTGTCATTGGAAATTTCATCATCAGCGCTCATAAATCGTAGAACCTCTCGACATCCACATTATTGGATCACCTTCAGCATGAATGTCTTGTCATGCAACAGTAAATGAGAAGCAAATCTTAAGGTAGAAGGGTCTTGTTGAGCTTCCAACACAATTTCTTGATCACTTCTCAATGATTCATCGGCATGTCCATGAGAGAACAACCATTGTGTTTCACTGCTTCCAATACCACGTCTCTATACTTTTTCAAATTCATGATTTAAAAGTAAACTCTCAGGTATCCATTGAAATACATTCTTAATTTTTTGTTTGATTGCTTCTAATCCAATTTCATGATCACTTTTCAAATGATCTGTCACTTGGGACCACTTGACCATTTTGTTTCAAAGCAGCTAAAACAGTTTCTTTGTTTTTCTTTAAATCAGAATCAGCATAAAAGAAGATCCAAATGTATTAAGATATTTCCCAGTCAATCTTAAAAAGGACAATGATTTTGTATTGAAAGCAGTTCAACAGAATGGAAATACATTGTTTTATGGCTGTCAACACCACTTGGCGATCAGTGAGAAGGTCATTACTTGCAAACCTTATTTCTAATCCCTCAAGTTTCACCACTTCCAACATAAGTTCTCGATGTTCTCTCAAAGCTGAAGATGCAAATTGTAATCCATAGCCAAACTTGTTTCGCAACAACCATTTTATTGGAGTTCAATTAAAAACTCAATTCATTCTTGGTACCTGAACTACAATGAAAAGAGTCAAAATACATGATACATTCGAGTATGTTTTATAAAATTCATTCAGTTAGTGACTTATTTTGCATATGTACAATAATTTAATGTAAAGTTCTCCAACATCGACCATTCTCAATTATTTCCTAAAGTTCTACCACGACCCCAGCTGTGACTGCTGTTGCTGCTGGTAGATCCTTGATTTCCTCTTCCAAACCATCCTCCAACAGTTTGAGTGATATTTGAAAAGAAACCTCCTTGTGAACTAGATGTTGCTGTCGTTTCAGAAGAAGTATCAGTACGTGTGGATGGAACAGATGCTTCTTGAAATACAGTTTCGTCTGCAATGAAAAAGAATGAACGATTCCGAATGAATCGAGGAATTTTTGAATCGACAAAAAGGAAAATCTTGTTGAGAGGAGAAATAAATCTCACCATGAGCCATACAGCATATCCACTTAACATTCCTGTTGAATTGAAGATGTATATAAGGATTGATGATGTATAAATGTTACAAACATGAATTGACATGAATTGGTAATTTGGTTGACATGATAACAAGTACATACCTGTAAGGTGACCCATTAAGGACACATTTGGCATTAGAAAAGATGTCACAATAAGCATCAACCATGGAATTAATTTTGGAGCAAAATCTGCATAGTGAGCTCCAGGATACAAGCTCTCAAAGAGTGGCTTGTATTGCACAGTAAACACTAGATAACCAAACAATACACCACTATATCCAACTGTACATCTGTCAAGCAAAAATCCCAACACTTGTCCTGCTTTGAAAGCATCAATAAATAACGCATCAATGGCAACCCAAATGGCAGCAGCCAATATTAACATTAAGAGTGAAATGAATAAAAAGTAAATCGTTCCAAGAGTCGACTCAATCCTATTTCCAAATTGATAAAGAGCTAGCATGTTAAATAAAATATGCATAATTGATCCGTGGAAAAAGGGAAATGTAAATAACTGCCACACTTTAGCTTGTTTTATACTGGCAGAATAACTATAACATATATCTGATGATTTTGGCTCATTAAAAACGCCCTTATGAGTTCGGAAATATTATAATTAATTCAATATAAGAAAACAATCCGCAATAATAAAATGTTCTATTCGATGAAGGTGTTCGTCATTCCAAACATACCTGTACAACGAACAATATTACACAAGCACAGAAAATAATATTACTACATAATGGAAAATATCGGAACCAATTCGCAACTTTGATATGAATAGGATCTTCAATATGATATTGCTGCTCTTCTTGTGAAGGAATCGAATGAATATTTGCTCCTGTTGCGCTTGATGACACTAGTGTGTTTGTTTGAAATCCTCTTGTTGATGAGGATTGAAGTTGTTGATACCTCGGATGTTGTAATTCTTGTGGTCTTCCACTGTTGATGGTAAAATTATGAGTTGTATACGTTTCATCATGATTTATGATTGATCAAGAATCATCATTTCGAAAATTTATATCGGAATCATCAAAATATTCCATTTCACCAATAATAATATGAATGAATGAATTTATGCATATTCACGTATATTTTGTTCATCACAATAACGATTATAAATTATTATGGTTGAAGTCAACATTGGTCATCCTTGCACCTCGAGGTGCACGATCAAAGACAAAACAACTACCTTGGAGAAAAAAAACCTCTTCCGAAATTCAGCATTTTTTTAAGGATTGTCCTTGGGAACCTTCGCCTGAAAAAGGTTGTTCTATTGAGTTGAGAGTTGAGAATTAATAAATTAACAGATTCTTTTTCGAGTGAGACAACTTTTATTTAAATATTTATCTTTGATATTTATCGAATCTGGTAATTACAATTTACGGTGACATCAGAATGTCATGCATCTCAACTTTAATGCGAATCTTGAGAGTGAAAAAGTAATCTCCATACAAATCCTTATCAAGCATCTTGAAAAATTGTTTATTTACAAAACAAACAAATTATAATGTTCCTCTACTGATTCGAAAAGTCATAAGTGTCATAATAGGATTCAAACTCTCTGGGTGGACTCATTGAAAAGAACGACAGTGTTGGTGACAAGGCATCGTTTGGTGAGGAACAACTTGATGCCATGAAAGGAGAAAGGCCCGAATGTTGTTGCTGATAGTAACCATAGGGTAACGGTCTACAGTTGAAAGGAGATGTAGCTTGTTGAGAGACAAAAGCTCTTGTTGGACCAGTCTGATACATTGCGTTCTCGGAAGCTCTGGTTTCAATATGCAAATTTGTTCGAGAAGTTGCAGGAACTGAAAACTTTCCCTCTCTGATATCATCATAAAGTCTCTGCAAGGTCATTTCCAATTCTGCAACTTTTTGTTTGAGTTCTCTATTTTCCATATTCACACGTTCAATATCGGTTATTGTGGGTGTGGTAAACCCCGCAGAAGTGACAACGTTGGGAGCGGCTTGATTGGCTTCGTCGATAAATGGATTCGTGATCGTTGTTGTTGTGGGCATGGTTGTTGTTGTGTTATTAGTATCGTCATTAAAAATTCTATCAATGTCAGAGAATGATGATGATGAACCATCAAAATAGGTGATAACCGATTCAGTCGAAGAAGAATTCTTTCTCTTCTTAGTGGTTGTCGTCGTTGTGCTTTGAGAATTGAAGGAGCAATTGCTTTCAGTGTCAAGGTCTCTTTTCTTTGAAGAATCTTGCTTCTTCTTTACCTGTGATGACGTAATTGCGGTCTCCTTCTTGGTTTTGGTTCTTACCCAAAAACATTTGCTCAGACCAACCACTCCTTGATTGTTTGTGCCTGATTTTCTATGAACGAATTTAATCAAAGCCACTCTACTTTTACCTCCTGCACCTCCCTTGTTGTTTCTGGGAATAGAAATGTTACATTCACCCAAGTCATCAAACCCCTTCTCTGATTGTACTTGATCATTTACAACCAATTGGCAGAGCATGTTATTAAGAGAGTTTTTGTATGGAGAGTCATCGTTGAGTGTTATTTTGAGAATATCACCCACAAAAACGTTATGGCTCGTATTGGGAGGTGATCTTTTGCCGTTGAGATTAAAACCACCAGGTAGACACACGATTCGACCTATTATTTGTTGTTCATTACCTTTCTCTCGTGCAATGGAGTACAAAATTGATGGATCATTGTTTTCTTCCGTTGTTGTTTGATATCCGTTATTGTTCTCTGATGATGATACGGCTTGGTTTTGATTCTCCATCGTTCCTCGCTGCACCCTCTTCAGGATTTTTTTTATGAAGAGAAAAACGGGAGGAAAGTTTCCTCTCACTCTTGTTCAGCATTTTTTTTGTTGTGGCCGTGTTCTAAATTAAGCTTTCCATATATATCCTGCTGTCTGTTTGGTAAATAAAGGTCTATAAGCACAACAACACGTTTTTCTTCACTCAAGGAATTGATAAACAAATTACTTGTTCATGTTTGTTTATTTATTAATTCACTATTTATCATTGTACAGTAATAGATCATTGACCAATGATCTATTACTGTACAATTCGTTCATGCAATAAGTCAATTCAATAATAATAAATTTATTATTATTATTAATAATTCGAATTAATTCAACAAAAGCACAAGGAGAATTTCTACAAATACATGTATGCATGTCATAAGGAGTGTGAATGTGCAAATTATTTTCTGTGAGCCAAAATGTGAACACCATCATTAATTCTGGCTCGAATGTTGCCCAAACTTTCCTTAATCTTTTCACGGAAGGCATTGTCAGCCTCTTCATCCGTTGCGTTCAAAATTAAACATTTTCTCAACCACAACACATCATCAATGCTTGACAATTCTGGAATACCAGTACCCAACATTAAGGTGAACAAAGTCATGATCATGTGGCCATATTTACGAAGAATATTGTAGGCTTTGCATCCCAAGTCGCTAAATTTTTCATACATTTCACTATTCTCGCCACCCATGACATAGGCATACATTGGAGTGAATACGAAAGGTGTTGTTTCACGTTTAAGTCCGGCAAACGTCTTGAAGTGACCTAAAAAGTGACCAAAATCAATGTGGAACAAATCACCCTTCTTTGTAATCATAATGTTATCGTTGTGTCTGTCACCAATACCGAGAACATATGTTGCTGAGCAGTAGCCGGCACATGAGTGCACAAAGTTATTAACAACAGTGTCCCACTCCTCATCAGTATTATGTTCCTTGAGCCATTTGTAAATTGGATCTTGTTTAAAAGCTCCAGCGACACCCGCACGTTTCTTTGTCACGTTTGCAATGGTTTGACTGTTCAATACAATTTCAATCATACCAGTCATGTAACCTGTACAAATGCATCCATATGGTTGCATATGAAGATCCAAACCTTCCTTCTTCCAGAGCTGATCCATGACTCTCAAAACTTGGAGAGTGAGCAAATCTTGACGCAAATCATCTCCGGCCTTGAACATGACATAAAGATCATCACCAGTCTCGTCAGCATTTTTAAAACATAACCATAGAGGTCTCTTTGCAGAGTCCATAACTCTACACTTCTCTGGAATTATTCCAATAACTTCCATACGAGGAGATAGTGGAAGTTTGTATTTTGGTGGTTGTTTGAGTGTTTGTAAATGTTGTATGAGAGCTTCTGTAACTGTGGCCTTCTTTTCGTGCTTGATCTTGATGGCAATTTCTAGCAATTGATCTAACACACCGCTTTGTTTCAATAATTCTCTTCTGTGACCACCGCTGTTCAGTAAATATTCCTCCAAAAGAAGGCCGTGTCTCTCCTTGGCATAAGGAACATGCATTTCTGCCTTCAAATGCCAAAAGAGAATGTGACCAATAATGTGCGTAGATCTGAGACCTCTTTGTAATAAAAATCTTGCAAGACTACTATCGTGATAGAGTTCATATTTTAAGGTTTGAACCAATTGTAACAAAAAGTCACTCAGTTGAACATCTCCCAACTCATTAAGTCTTTCAACGGCATATTGACGAACTTTTTCATCTGCAAAGTTGTAATCAAGTAATTCCAAAGCATCCACAGGTGTCATTGGTTTCCATCTTTGAATCAAAGTATGAGCAATGAATACAGCTTGGGGCATCTTCCAAGGAACACTGAGAATGAATTTTGGAAGAGCCTTTGGTATTTCCATAATTCGTTCCTTGTTGGTCCAAAGTAAATATTTTTCTTCATCTGTAAGAATTTCGAGAGGATCTTTCGAAATAATTTCGTTCAGCTTTCTGTCAAGTTGAATTCCATTCAGATTGGCAAAACTATCTTTGAAATGTTCAGAAAGCTTTTGTTCGTATGAAAGTAAACGTTTGGCCATCTTTTTTGGAGGTCTACCTTGGGGAAACACAACAGGTAAAGCATATCTATCAAATTGATAAGATACAAATATTGGTGTCTCATCAGATCCTGTATTCTCGGCAACAACGCTAATTGGCTTGGCTCTATCATTTGGCCACATCGCAGAGACAACATCTCCCTGATTTAAAAAACCTTTAAAGTTGATAAGAGTCTTAATCGTATATCCAAGGGCAATATCTTTGGAGCTGACATGGTGTGGGGCATGAAGAGGATCTTTACCAGAGGAGTTTTTAGCTGTCACATCTCTGGCAAATAATGTCAAGCATAATTTTGTCTCTCTTGGGATATCGGAGATTAAAACTTCGTCAAAAACAATTGTTTGATTCCAACGAGGAGAACGGCTGAAGGGAACCATTTTTGAGAATTTTTGTCGAGAGAGAGGGGTACCTCCGTGATAGAGTTCACAGCAAAAATATAAATAAGTATTGTCGGGTTGTGTGATTTGATTTCCAACCAAGTTATCAACTCCCACCAGCTTCACTCGGCAACATTTGACCAAATCCCATAAGCTGATGTATTTCATTTTGGACCAGTCGTTTTTACCGAAACACATTTCTTCATGTACGTAGAGTTTTTGGTCCTTTTCATGTTTAAAATCATATGACACTGTTTTGAGTGTCACATCTCTAGGGTCCAACTCTGCCTTAACTGTTTCTTTATCCAAAAGAGTTAAGGTTGGTTTTACGCCCTTCTTCATACATTTTCGAATGTGGTCAAATTGGGCCATTTTGTAGTCACCATACATGAATTCGGCAGTACCTGCAGCTTTGAAAACCCAATCTTCCTTCTTTCTTTTTTGTTGGTGAGCTGTATTCAATTTGTTCAAAAATAACTCGGCAAAATCGTCAGCCGATGTATTATAATCGCATTCTAAAGTTTTTGTTGCCTTATTTCCGTGAAGTGTACAGTTTACGTTGATCAGGATTTTCTTATTTAACTCGTTGGGGTTGATTGGCTCGACGCTTAAAAATACAGGAGGAAGGAATGCTTCTCTGTCCTCGCTTTTACGGTCGCTCTTTTCAAAATATTGAATTCTAGTTTTGTTTTTTAATTTGTGGTATGTTCATATGTGAAATGTTGTCATTTCGATATTATGATGATGTTCAATTACGGAGGAAAGATTAATAAATGAAGGATGATCGCATCGAAGAAGTACAATGACGAGTCGATGCAGCGGAGTTGACCACACAGGTATTTTACCGTCACACGTTTGATTGCCATATACGAAAGTGATGTTGTCATTAACCAAAATAAATGTTGTCATCCCGATACTACAAATCCACAGCTACATACTTTTTAAATGTTTCACGGAATGTTTGTACTTCTTCTGAATTCGAGCTCCAGTCCTTTGAAGGACCAAGAATAATTTCAATTTCCTTTCGAATTTCTTCTTGTGTTGAGGAATTGGCTAAACGTTTACTTGTCTATAAAAGTGGATGGATGGTGTGAGACGAATAAATGTTGACAGCGTCAGTAGTGTACGCAATGAACTCATGTGAATGACAACACATATATGTATTATAATCATGATGATGACGATGGTAGTGATGTTACAGAGAGAGACATTTCAATTATTTCCACAATTTGTGTCAATGATAAATTTGGTATCGAAATGTTGCATTATATTTCATCATCATCATCATGATAAAGTCACCATGAATTCGAGTTCATCATCAACCATTTTGCATCATGGTATATCGAATCCCAACAACAAAAACAACACCTACCTCATCGTCTTCCTCCAAAATTTTTCTCCAGTGTTCATCATCTCGTGCTGGTACCTTAACCTTCTCCAAACGTTTCACTGCTTCCACATATTCTTGATCTTGTTCGGTTTGCTCTCCTTCTCCGTTCATCAATCCGTCTGTCTCTTTTTCAATAGCAGTCGAAGTGGATTTACCATTCTCAAGGACCGCTGCAGATGAAGGTGTGGGAGAGGCTCCATTCTTGGTGGCAACCACTGTTGGACTTGGCATTTTTTGAAAATAGAAAAATGAGAGTTTTGATGATGACCGATGAGACTGACTCACAACAAGAAGGACGATGGTTGTTTTGGTGGCTGCTGCGAGAAAGTGTGTGGTTTTGAGTGTGGGGTTTTTTGACTTTTTGACGTCTGAAGAGATTGACAGGAAAAGAACCCGTGAGTGCTTCCAACAATATTGTTGATATTCCTTTGCCGAATGTTGGCTTTTCACACCCGATTAAAATTGGATTTTGGAACACACTTCATCTTGGCTCAAGAATCAAGTGCGTTTCTTGCATCGCACGGAATAGGAGGAATATATCGAGGACAAAAGCATCGGGCTCTTTTTCCCCGCTTATTCCTCAATCAAAAACAATCCACAACTGAACAACTTTGCATTCATTGAAAACATTGATTGAATGTGGTTGTGTAAATAAAAAGCTATGACTACTTGTACTAGTACCTCCATAATGCCAAGCTGCTTCCAACATCATGTTGAATGAACTACAGTACAACCAACAATTACTACAACTACTACTTGGGGTGCACGTGCGGGCTTGTTCGAGGAGTCAAATGAGGACTACGGAAACTCAATTATAGCCCACGACACAATGTGGAAATTCATCATCATGGATGTTGTTACCACGCATGTCCATGCATGATCACCGCTACTACTCAATGAACATTGTCACCTATTTCTTCCCTTGAACTTCTTTTGAATAAGTGGTATCTTGATGCACAATCAGTGAAAAGACAGACATAACCATGTCACCTAGCACCACAATGATCTGTGGTAAAACTGCGCTCTCTTATCCCCGTTAAAACACGTGTGTTGAAGCTTTGAAGCAACATTTCCATTCTGCAACTCAATCAAGAAGCCATCCACGACACTGCAGCGCCCGCGTGCTTTCGCTCGTTTCCAACATTTGGAAGGTGAGGATCCTCACGTAAAATCCCCGAATGCAAATTGATAATGATTGAATAAAAATAAATTCTGTCAATTCCCAAGCTCTCAAGAGAAGGAGCTCCTGGTTTGTTTTAAAGCGCAGATTTAACGGTGCGCAGATGATGCAAAAAAAATTCTTCTTCTTCTTTCGGTTAGAGAATTTACAACAACCACACAACGGCAGTGTTCCAAGTTGTTGTCGCTTCTTCAGGTGAATAGCTGGCAACAAGAACAACAACATTACGTTCGCGAAACGTTTCGAACGACCACGACAACATTAAAAGTGGATTCCATAACGCACTCTCTCTCGGTGTGTAGGTGTTCAATATTAAATTATTCGGCATTATCAAAAAAAGAATTGAATTTTAAATATTGAAAAACATACCTTTTCAGCCTTTTCTATTCGAATCGATATTCCATCATCCTTTCTTCTAACTTTTCATCATGAACTTTGAAACCAACTTTTCCAAGTCATCTTCCTTCGAGGATTTCTTTAATGTGTTTGCTCCAAATAACAACACCTCCTTCGCCAATCATCACACCTTCATGAACGATGAAGATTTGGATGACAATATGGCTGAATTCTTTGGAGTAAATTCACAGAGCGACAACAATTTCCTCTCTTCCTCTGCCAACCAAAGCTTTTTTGAAACCCAACAACAACAACAACCTCTTTCTCCTAGCAATGACATGTTGCCAAAATCCTCTTCCATTCTTTCCCTAACTGATTTTAAGCCAACCCCACTCTCTAGATCCTCCTCTGCTACTTCATTTTGTGGAGGACTCTACCAAGCTCCTCCATCACTTCTTCACAATGGTGACTCTTCTCCATTGCTTTCATCGGAGCAACAGATGGATGAATTCCAAAAGCAATTGACTCGAAGTGGTGCTGCTCCTTTTCTCTCTCCTGACGGTACTTTCAAACCATCTTCTCAATTGTCTCTCTTCAAATTTGCCAAGCAACCTGACATTTTCTCTTCCATCACCAAGCCACCAATGAGTTCGATCACACCCTCTGACTCACTCTTGAACCAAGAATTGTTTGCCTCTCTCAACGACGTTCCAAAATGTGTTGAATCCATCAATGAGATGGATACCACCTCCACAACGAATGATGCCATGTCCTCTTCTGCCACTGTTGTTGCTGCCGCTACAAGTAGCACTTCTACCACAGTGAAGCAACAAACTTCCAGCAATGGCCTCCCTGCTGGTTACAAAATTGTCAATGGACAAATGTATAATGACAGAGGATATCAAATTTGTGGATTTATGAATCAACACAACAGACCATGTCAAAGAATTGGCAAGTGTCCATTCCACGATCGAATGAAGAGCGACAATGTCATTTCAACCAACGGAGATGGTATCATTGCTGCTCAAGATAGCATTGAACCAGAACATTTTGCTCCTAGTGAAGTTTTAAAGTCTAAGAAAAAGAAAGACAAGAAGCAAAAGCAGTCAGAGTCAACCCTCGAAGTGAGCCAACCAGTTATTTCTCAATCCAGCGAGAATATTGAAGTTGTTGGCAAACCAACAACTAAGAAGCCATACAAGCAAGGATGGACTAAGGAAGAACACATTCTATTCCTTAAAGGACTCGAACTTCATGGAAAGGGTAACTGGAAGGAAATTAGCAACATTGTTGTCACAAGAACACCAACTCAAATCCAGTCTCATGCTCAAAAGTATTTCCTCAGACAAAAACAACAAAAGAAGAATAAGAGATCCATTCATGACTTTACTATGGACGATTTGAAGAAGAATGAAGCTGCAGAAGAGGTATCAATGGAGGAGGAAGGCTCTCATAAGAGAAAGAGAAACAAGTCCAAGACTTCTAAGAAGGCATCCCAGTCAACAGTCGAAGAAAAGACAACTGTTACTGCTGCCATTACTGAACAAAAAATTCAACCAAATACTGCCTCCTCTTCTACTCCAAGCACCACTTTTGATGAAAGCATGTTCAAGAAGGAAGTTTTTGGTGAAGTTTTTACCTTTAACAACGAAGACATTTCACTTGTGAAACAATTCAACCTCTCTCCACCAAAGCAAGATGCTTATTTGGAAGTTATTAGCAAACTCACAAATTTAAAGAACTTTGCCAAGCAACCAGAATTACCAACCAAGTCTGTTTTTGAGAGCTTTTCTGCTGACGAATTGGATTTCCATTTTAGCGGTGCCTCAACAACAGAGACAACATTCCTGTCCACAGAAGAACAAAACAATGAATTGTACGATGCTTGGGATGTCCACAATACCTTTGCATTATTCGATGCAGATGGTTCATTCACAACACAACCATTCCACAAGAAACAAAAGCTGTAATAAATCGTGAGTCACATTCATGTGAAAAAAGTGGTTCAACTTTGCACATGTCGTCTCTTAAACCTGGCGCCTCTCAATTTCTTCCAACAAAATCAAATTTTCATTCACCCGCCAACCACAGTCGTTGATTGAAAATTAAAAAAAATTTTGAATTTATTTATTGTGTGACCCACAGCTGCATCATCACCAACAATATCATCATCAACCAATTTGATTTGAAAATGATTTTAACAGACGGCCAAATATTGAAAGAAATTGAAAAAAAGTCCATTGTTATCGAACCCTTCGATAGAGCCAACCTCGGAGTCAATTCCTACGATGTCCATCTCGGTAAAAGGCTTGCTGTTTATAAAGAACAAGAATTGGACGCAAAAAAGAATAATGCCATTGAAGTGTTTGACATTCCAGAGGAAGGTTTCGTTTTACAACCAGGAGAATTATATCTTGGAGTCACTCAAGAATATACGGAAACACATAATCATGTTCCCTTCCTTGAGGGTAAATCGAGTACTGGTCGTCTCGGAATATCTATCCACGCCACTGCAGGAAAGGGTGATGTAGGCTTTAAAGGAAGGTGAGTAGAATGGAATTTACAGAACATGATGTTCTCAATTTGTTGATTTATTGGATTCATGATTTTTACACCCACACAAAATATGAACATTTGAAACAATGCCAATCATTTGGGTCATGTTGAATACCATCCTATCAGCTGGACACTTGGTACGTTGATTTGTCATCTTTGTTTTGAGCCTGTTCATGAACTCTTATCATAATAACTAACCTCATCAACAACTCTCAGAAATTAACGCGATCAAACCCACACGAGTCTACGCAGGGATGCCCATTGGTCAATTGATCTACTTTGAAGTCGACAAAGATTCAATCCTAGTTCCATATCACCAAAAGAAAAACGCCAAATATACTTCACAAACGACAGATCCAGTCGGAAGTATGATGTGGAAAAACTCTTTCTAGGATGAAAGTTCGAAAAAATGAAATAAAAAACTGCACGAGTGAAGTCTCGAGATTGCAATCTTCCACACCCGAATTTGTTTGAAAATCTATGGGATCCTCAATAATGGATGAACAATTATGCAACACGAACGCTGCACTCCACGGAGTTTGGATTCCGAGCTCGAAGAATGCTTCAAAGTTCGCGTGCGCAGGATTCACGCGGAGGAATACAAAAAATCGAAAAAAAATTAAAAACCATTCGACTTTGTGTGCTAGCTCATTCCTTTTTCTTCCTCCTTATCCACCAGCGATAGCCTTTCTCTTCGTCAGAGTGTTGATTGTTTGCTTTGCCCATTTTCAACAATCACAAGCGATCCGTAACTTGACTTTTGAAACAAGAAGCCCATACCACAACCATGACTGATCATAATAACCCTTCGGAACCATTCTTCACCAAAACAACACCATCAACACCACCACCATCAACAACAACAATCTCTCACTCTTCTTCGGAATTGGAGGAAATTACCAAACTTTGGTACCAGCAACAAGAACAATGCCAACTCACCATGAAACAACTCCGCGAAAATGAGAATATTGTGAGTGGTGCGGATTGGATGGAATATTTAGCACGAGTGTACAGTGAGAGACTTGCCATTCAAACGGTACATTTGCCATTACACTCTCAGAATGTCATTACTTTTCAAAAGATGAATCAAATGGCGAATCAATTGGCATATTATTTAATAACGTCGAAATGTACCACTGACAGTGGTGAGGAGAAGAGAATTTATACGCCAATATCGGAAATTGAAGGAGAAAATTATGTCATGACACAAGGTGACGTGGTGTGTTTGTTGATGGAAAATTGTGTCAATTTTATTCCTTCATGGGGAGGATTAAGCAAGTTAGGACTCACCATTGCTTGTATCAACACTAATTTGACATCTGACAGAATGAAACATGCCATCGAACTTTCAGGCGCAAGAGCAATTTTTGTGTCTCGGAGAATGCTTCCAGTTTTTGAAAAGGCAAAACAAGAAGAACAAGAATTTGAAATTGCAACTCGAAAAGCACATATCAAAGATTTTAAAGTTTACATTGTGGAAGATATTATTAATTTTGATGACCATCGAATGTTGGAAAATCCAGATCGTGTGAAATATCGAGGAAATATTACAGGAGAGGATGCCTTATTTTACATTTATACCTCAGGAACCACTGGTAAGAGTAAATGCGCCAGATTTTCACATCGACGATTTATTGGAGCAGGAGTGACATGGTCCATTCAAATGGATCTTGTGAAAGATGACAAGTATTACATTCCTCTGCCACTTTATCATGGAAATGGTGGAGTTGTGGCAGTTTCTGCAATCTTTCTAGTTGGAGGTTGTTGCGTATTGAGAGAAAAATTTTCTGCAAGCAATTTCTTGAACGATATTCGAACATTTGGATGTACAGCGACCATCTATATTGGAGAATTATGGAGATACATGTATAACACCCCCGAAAAAGAGGATGATGCTGACAATCCACTTCGTGTTGCTGCAGGAAATGGACTCAGAAAAGACATTTGGGATAAAGTCATAAAACGTTTTGGAATTAAGAAAATTGTGGAACATTATGGACAAACAGAAATGTTGAGCGCCCATCCCATGATTAATTCTTACGGTAGAGCAGGCTCGTGTGGATTTATTCCATTCGACTTGTGGACTAATCAAAAGAAAGAAGTTCTCGTTACCTACGATTTTGAAACAGATTCTATCAAGAGAGATCCAGTCACAGGATTTTGTGAAATTGCAGGACCTGGAGTACCTGGTGAAGACATTACACAAATCCCAGAAATTTACAAAGCATATAATTCTCATGAGGATAACTTGAAGAAGGTCTATCGAGATGTTTTTGAAAAAGGTGACATTTGGTATAGAAGTGGTGACGTGTTGAAATATGATACAGATGGATTCTTTTATTTTGTCGACAGACTTGGGGATAGCTTTAGATGGAAAGGAGAAAATGTTTCAACAACAGAGGTGTGTGAGGCTATCACGAAAACTCTCGATCATCATATTGCTTTGAAAGAGGCGAATGTTTATGGTGTACAAGTTCCTCACTGCGAAGGTAGAGCTGGCATGGCTCGATTATTACTAGACCATTCGGTGGATGTTGCTTCTTTGGATACTGAGTTTTTAGTCGCAGAGCTCAAAAAACATTTACCACATTATGCCATTCCACTCTTCTTAAGGATTTCAACCACAGAGAGCGACAAGACGAGTACACTTAAATTTATCAAGAGTCATTACCAGGCTGAAGGTTTTGATTTGGACCAAGTTGGTCACGAAAAGATATTGTTTTTAGATCCATCCACCAAGAGCAAGTACATTCCTTTGAGCAGAGAGTTGTTCCATTCAATTTTGGAGGGTAAAATTCGATTGTAAAGCAATCTCATCGTTTCACTTTTTGAAATAAATTTTTCAGAAATGTATCACTTCCAATTATTATTTAAATGTAGAGAGCAAAATAAATTAATTTCATTGAGCTTGTTGTTAGCGTCTATTGTTGATTAGCCTAGATTGAGCTTGTTGAGGTTGTGGAGGCGTAGGTGTTGGTGCCACATGTTCCTCTTCGGCTTCTTCTATCTCTTCGTCCTCATCGTCATTACCGTGGGCATTGAGGAATTCACGCTCTGTGGTTGGATCGAGCGTCGTTCCTGTCAAGTCTGCCATAAAATGCAAGATTTGTTCGCTGGTCAATAATTCTTTTCTCAACCTAGATCCTCGTTGGTAAATGTACAAAATATTGCTCGATTCACGTGTTTTCATTGCTTGCTCGTTCTTGTTTTTCTCCAAATAAAATTGCTTTTCAAATTGTTGAATGACCTTTTCAGGAAGGCCAAACACTGGGTGTGATTTTCCCTTATGAATATTCATTCTACTCAAATATTTCCACAAGTCTTCTTCTGAGAGACGATTCTTTTTAGTCTCAATATGACAGATAATAACCATCAGCAAACCTAGATGAGCTTGCTCAATTCCAGAAAATGAATCAAACTCTTCTCTCTTGTTTTGGATACTCTTAAAGTTAGACTCTCGTTGTTCCTTTTTGCTCATACTCAACAGGGGTAGTCCGTTGTCAGCTGGAGCCAATCTTAACATCCAAATTCCAGTTGACTTTTTCTTTGGTTTCTTTTGTGACGCTGTTTGAGTGGCAGTGACTGTTGACTTGGTTGTGACATCAGCGTTTGGATCATGTCGATCGATTTCCAACAATTCAAATCCGAAAATTTTCAAAAATCTTTCTTGCGCAAGCGTAATCAAATGATCGAGAAGACCTTTTCGTTTTTTGTACCTTTCTCCAAGAACAGTAGCCATAATATCTTCTCTCTTAATTGGCAATTTGTTGGTATCTTTAAATAAACAAAATCTCATTAAATTACCAAGAAGTTGTTCAATTTCGTCATCGGAGGTTCCTCCGAAATCGTTAACTTTTGAAGAACCCCCATATTCACCATCTTCATCAGCTTTTTTCTTTTTTCTTCCTCCACCACGTGAAGATGTTGCTCCTTTTCGTTTCCGAGCTTGAGTGCTGGTTTCTTCTTCTTCATAGTCCTCTTCTTCTTCTTCTTCCTCTTCGGGTTCTTCTTGTGTTGGCCTTACATATCGTTGCGATGATGACAGTGAAGATTGTTGCGATGAAGATGTTGCTTGTTGTGATGATGAGGCGTTATGAACGAGCCTTCTCCGTGGAGCCTAATTTACAATCATCATCATCGTACACAAATTAATAGCCCAATGTTCATGATGATATCATCAGTGATCACATTCCGATGGTGTTATTTTCATAAATTCCAAAGCAAGTTCAAAGATTTCATTCAGTTAGAGAAAAAAAAGAGCAACAAACCCTTTCGTCGAACAACTTACCATTTTTTTTGTTCTTCTTTTCTGAAACTTTTTGAAAGTGAACAAACAACATGGAGCAAGAAGAGATTTGCATTTCCAATAATTTTGATCTTGCTGTAGATTGAACAACGCATACATGGATCATGCAAAATATTTAATTTTGTTGATTCAATTGCACAACATCTTATGGTGTGTGACATTTACAATCGAAAAATTCCCATTCTTTTTCACATTGACAACTGATCTTCCAACTGTACATTTTCATTGAGTCTGTTTGAATAAGATCTCATGGTGTGTGAGACGACTAACAATTTCAATTTTAATTAAAAAAAATAAGAGAAAAGAACCATACCACTGTCTCAATCATCATCATTCTTGTAAATTAATTATAAATTAATTATTTAATCGTCAGCGAAGAGCTCACACACTCACACACGTAGATCCACATGTTTCTTGGAAAATTAGTGATCGGAGTGATTCTTTCAATTTATATTGCAATGAGAGGCTATCGAAAGAAGTCCTTAGATTTATCAGGAGCACTCACTGCACTCATTGTTGGATTTATTTCCATTTGCGGAGGTTTATCGTGGACGTTGATCTTGTTGTTTTTCTTCGTCACTTGTTCCGCTCTCACAAAGTACAAATCAGATATTAAAAGGAAAAGAGAAGATGGATACAAGGAAGGAGGACAGGTAATTATTGTTTTGTAATTTATTGTAAGAATCACCCATTGATGAATGAATGAATGGAAAAACGTATGATGATGATTTTGATCAACTCTGGATGACGGTGGCCACTGGATTGAAATTCATAAATTTTCAATGACAATTTTACAAATGAACGATTGATGCTTGTGTTGAATGTTGAATCATTGATACTTGTTTAATTTAACATGATCATGACTATAGAGAAATTTCGAACAAGTGATTGCGAATGGATTCTTTCCAACTTTTATATGTCTACTATATCAAATTGTTAGAGTATTTCAATTTGAGAATTTTGAAGCACTTTATTTGCAATCTCAAAAGACCAATGCACCTATGGAGCTTTCAAGAATTGAAATTCATCGATATTTATATGGGAATTTTTATTATTTCAATGCTAAAGATTATCCATTGAAGACATTCTTACTCGTTTGCTATCTTTGTTGCTACATTGCAAATACAAGTGACACTTGGTCATCAGAGTATGGAATTTTGTCCAAGAAAGAACCAATATTTATTTTAAATTTTAAGAAAACATTCCATGGGGTGAGTTTGAACTTTAGCTCATGAAAATCAATGATCTGTGAATCAATGCATGTATTTCGTAACTTAATTATTCAATAATTGTGAAATATGGAAACAATACTTTTAACAATTTCAACGCCTCTGTACATCAAGGTGAATGGTGGAGTGAGCTTATCCGGATATTTGGCAAGTCTCGTTTGTGGAATTTCATATTCTATGCTGTGTCTCTTTATGATTTGTTTGGACTTCTTTTATGCTCGATATTTTGGATTTAATGACATTGGAACTATGCTTGTGGGTGGACATGAAACATCTCAATTGCCACTTTTAACACAATTACTGACAGTACTGAGCTATCAATATCCAATTGTGATTTTATGCATTTTCTCTGCATTGTTTGGAACGACACTGGATAGTGTATTGGGAGCCATCTTTGAATATTCAGGTAGGTCATGGTTAGAAATCCATAATGATTCTGCTAAATATATCATAAATATGACATCATTCTTTCGAATACCATACCTTTAGGATACGACGAAGAAAAGAAAATGGTTGTCAAGAAACCTGGTGGAGAAAAGGTCAAACATATTTCTGGATTCGGTATTTTGAGTGGAAATCAAGTGAATTTTCTTTCTGGATGTATCACGGGTCTTGTATGTGCCACAATGAGCTTGTGGTTGTTCAATTATTAATCCTTCTTCATATTCGGATGGATGGATGGATGGATGGATCTGAACGAGCGATCATTTGCCTCCTTTTCACAATAACCGAAGATTGTGGAGTCTCAATTTAAGAAATTAGTTTCTCGTACGGAACGAAATAAACAACACATTCCTCGGATCAATCAACATTATCACAGCGTTTTTCGTTCGATTATTAAAAATTAAAAATAATTTAAATAAAATTTTTAAAAAAACTTCTAATTGAAAATTTTTTAAAAAAACATCTTTCGTTCATTGACGGTTGTGGAGGCATTGCTCTAGATGAGGCAGATTATGAAAAAAACAAGAAACAAAAATTAATTCCAACACAAAACATGATAATGATGAGAAATGATGATGAAAATGTAAAACTGATCATTCTTGATTTTTCAAATTCCTCTTCTTCTTTTGGTGAAAATTATGAACTCAGTAATCTTCGGAGATTAGAATCATTATTGAAAAAGAAATTCTCAATGCAACAAGAAGGGAAGAAGAAATGGTTATGGAACCGAGAATTGAAATATAAACATTTCTTTCCTGTTGAGTTTATGAATGACAAGGAATTTGTTTTGAATCACATCAAAAAGTATGGTTATGGATTGGAATATGCATCCACATATTTACAACAAGATCGAGAGTTTGTGATGAGAGTGATTCACTTAAACGGACAGGAATTTTTCAATGCTTCCAATTTTCACAACGATAAAGAAATGGTATTGGAATCAGCAAAACATAGCCCTATTGCATGGACATGTGTTCCGTTAAAATTGATCCAATCTGACAATGAATTTGTTTTAGAGATTGTTAGACAGAATGGCTTGGCTTTACAGTTCTTAAATGATGAAATTAGACAAGAAAGAGGCAGAGAAATTGTTTTAACTGCTGTCAAGCAAAATGGTGAAGCACTGAAATATGTAGATGATAATTTGAGATTAGACAAGGAAATTGTATTGGAAGCAATCAAACAAAATAAGAAGGCTCTTCAATTCATTTCAAAAGATTTATTGAAAGATTGTGAATTCATGTTGACAATTCTCAAATTAATATTTCCAGAATTTTCTCATTTAAATTCTTTTGATTATTCACAAAAAGATATCGTGATGAAACTTGTTCAAGAGAATGGACGGATACTTGAATTTGCAAGTGATGATTTGAAGAATGATCGAGAAATTACATTGATGGCTGTTCAACAGCGTGGCTTTGCATTGGAATATGTCTCTGATGAATTGAAGAGAGACAAACAAGTTGTGTTAAATGCTGTCAATCAAGATGGATATTCTCTTTTATTTGCATCTGATGAATTGAAGAATGATAAACAGGTCGTATTGACAGCAGTAAGAAAAACAGGCCTTTCTCTTCAATTTGCATCGGATGAATTGAAGAAGGACAAGGAAGCGGTATTGGCAGCTGTTACACAAAATGGTAATGCTCTCGAGTTTGTGAGTGAAATGATGAAAAGTGATCAAGAAATTGTATTAGAAGCGATCAAACATGGTGCTACTGTGATGCATGTTTCTAAAGATCTTTTAAACGACAAGCAATTCTTGTTAGAAGTTGTAAAGTGTGGACATGATAACTTTCTCGATCACACTCCGACACTGGAAATGGCGTTTGACAAAGAATTTATATTACAAGCAATCAAACTGAACAGTCTTTCCATTGTAGGGTCTTTTAACAATTACCATGTCGTCTCTGATAAGGAATTTATGCTAGAAGCAGTGAGGAATAATGGATTTGCATTGAAGTTTGCAAGCGACGACTTACAAAAAGATCCTGAGCTTGTGATGGAAGCTCTCCAACGCAATGGTTATGTGTTGGAGTATAATAAGGAATTGCTGCAAAAAAGGATGGAGCAATGTTATCATGGTGCTTATTTAGGACCCATTAAACATTGAGACTTTGAGAACAAAATATCTATTGTCGATTCGTCAAAATAGTTGCTCAAGACGATGGGCGGAATCTAATTGAATTTTGTTGATTTTTCATGTTGAAAATATTTGGTTAGCTCAGTAATAATGAAATAAAGATGAACCTGCGCTGTCACAATTCGAAAATCTGCTTCATCCATGATTTTATTCAAAACCAAATGGAGATCATGTGGAATGGGAACCAGGAGAGGAATTTTTTCATGAAGAGGAACGTGAGATATTCTTTCATCGTTCCAACATTGAGATACTGCGGCGAACAGCCATTCAGCCAGGATGGTCCTCGCCGTCGGGGGTGTTTACAGCTCCAGCCCTCGGTGATTTGAAAGATTTTCTTGACAAGGGAATCAAGATGAGTCATTTTCTTTGAAAAAAGGTGAGACACGTGTGGTTGCCTTGGCCGTTGAAACGGAAGGGCACTCTTAAGAGGTCGTTGTTCCTAATTGCATTCTAAACAACGCCCCGATCATTTCTTGAGTTCTTGCTTGTTGTTGGCTTATCGTGGAACTTGACAAGAAATTGTCAAAAAATATCCGAAACGTAATTTCAACAACACGTCGTGATGAATAATACACTCGTCAACAGTGCACAACAGGTAAAACTGATCATTCTTGATTTTTCAAATTCCTCTACTTCTTTTGGTGAAAATTGTGTTCACCACTTTCGGAGATGGGAATTATCATTAAAAAAGAAATTCTCAATGCAACAAGAAGGAAAAAAGAAATGGCTCTTCGATCGTGAATTGAAATATAAACATTTCTTTCCTGTTGAGTTTATGAATGACAAGGAATTTGTTTTGAATCACATCAAAAAGTATGGTTATGGATTGGAATATGCATCTACGCAATTAAAACAAGATCGAGATTTTGTGTTGAAAGTGATTCAACAAAAGCCCAATGAATTACGGTATGCAAGTGAAAACATTTTTAATGATAAAGAAAAGATATTGACAATTGTTAAGCAATTCCCAGAGGCAGTGGAATATGTTCGATCAGAACTTTTATATGACAGGGAATTTGTTTTGGAAATGATTCAACAATATAGATTAGATTTGTATGATGTTCCTTATGATCTTACGAAAGATAGAGATATTGTTTTAGCTGCCGTTAAACAAAATGGAAAAGCAATTGACGACTGTGGTTATTTGAAACTAGATAAGGAAATAGTAATAGAGGCGATTAAACAAAATAAGACAGCACTTAAATCCGTAGAAAAAAGTTTATTGCTAGACCATGAATTCATGTTGAGAGTTGTCCAAACAATATTTCCAGAATTTTCCCATTTAAATTCTTTTGATTATTCACAAAAAGAAATCATGATGAAACTTGTTCAATTGCCTGGAAAGTTACTTAAATTTGCAAGTGATGAACTCAAGAATGACCGAGACATTGTTTTGAATGCAGTTACTAATAATGGTTCCTCACTTGAATATGCTTCAAGTGATTTGAAGAATGATCGAGAAATTGCCTTAATTGCTGTTCAAAAGGATGGCTATGCATTAGGATATGTCTCTGATAAACTGAAGGGAGATAAACAACTCGTGTTAAATGCTGTCAATCAATATGGGTTGTTTCTGTTTGTAGCATCTGATGAATTGAAGAATGACAAAGAGGTAGTATTAACTGCAGTCAGAGAAAAGGGTAGAGCTCTTGAATTTGCATCTAATGAATTGAAGAATGATAAAGAGGTGGTATTAACTGCAGTCACACAAAATGGGACAGCTCTTGAATTTGCATCCGATGAGTTGAAGAACGACAAAGAGGTAGTATTGACAGCTGTAAGACAAAATAATGAAGCTCTTCAATATGCATCATATGAATTGAGAAACTATAGAGAAGTAGTATTGGAGGCTGTTAGACATTACGGTTCTGCTCTCGGGTATGCAAGTGAAGTGATGAAAGGTGACCAAGAAATCGTACTGGAAGCTATCAAAAATGATGGATATCTCGACAGTACTTCTCAAGAACTTTTATATGACAAACAATTCTTGTTACAAGTTGTGAAGTGTGGATATAATCGCATTCTTAAAGATGCTCCAGAAACTATTGCTCATGACAAAGAATTTATATTACAAGCAATCAAACTGAATAGTCTTTCCATTGTATCGTCTGGCCATTATCATATAATATCTGATAAGGAACTCATGTTAGAAGCAGTGAAGAATAATGGACATGCATTACATTATGCAAGCGAAGAGTTAAAGAAAGATTCTGAACTTGTGTTGGAAGCACTTAAATGCAATGGTTATGTATTGAAGTACAGTGACGAATTATATCAAACAAGAATCCAATATTGTTATCATGATGCTTATTTGGGAAACTCGATTGAACTTCAATAAAACAAGTCCACATGATGCGGTTGTATCGGAATAAATTGCACGAGGGAATCTTTGAATCAGTATCAACTCGATCCACGAGTTTCTCAATCCGCTTCAGAGCCGTGAGATCAAGTCTTCATTGCCTGAACATTGAGGGGGAGGATTTACTGATTCACAGACAAAGGCACTGTCTCTCAAATTACATTTAATCCTCACTACTTCCAACATAATTTCCTTGTTTGAGGTAAAACATGACTCAACAACAGCGATATCATAATTGAGTTTGATAGCTCTTATTATGAATTCTCGGTCCACGAAACGACGAAATATGATATATTTTACAACTTTCTCAACTTTGGTGACAAGGAATTAATGTTGCAAGCAATCAAACTCAACACTCTTTCTTTTGGGCCATCACCGTGTGGATTTGGTTGTGTATCACCCTTATTTGATCGTATTGAATCTGACAAGGATTAGTAATGTTGGAAACCATTAAAATATCCAAAGATTTAAAGAAAGATTTTGAGCTTGTGATAAAAACTCTCAAATGCAATGTGGTTTTGTTTTGGAGTATAGTGATGAATTGTTGCCTAAGAGAATGAAACAATGCTGTCGTGATGCTCTCTCTTGCTTCTCCAACGAAAATAGAATTATTTGGCATTCTCTTTTGACCCTCGCAAAACACAAGAACCATGGTGGCCACACCCTCCGATAGAAAGATCCTCTCTATGGATCCCAATAAAAATTAAATATTGTTTATTGGCCCTTCGGTGCCTCAATACTTGTCATAAAACAACATTGGACTTCATTTTCGTTTAGATACTACTTCTGAATGTCGAATGTTTTTAACAGGATATATCAAATATTAACAGATTACATGCTTGTGTTGAGCAACTGTTAACATGGGTTGAGTCCATGATTCAAACAGAAGGTAAAAATAAAGCAGTGTTTGGTCTGTTAATGCATATGGTTTCGTTGGTTTGTAAGGTTGAGTCGTCAATTATTGTAAAAAGGTCATGAATAGGTATATATAGTGTTGATGGATATGATATGTTAATAATGATATGTATCGATTACCAGCATTGTCTTCAAAGTTCTAAGTCACAACAATTAATAATGTTGAAGGGCGGAGAGCAGTCTTGGATCCAGTATAAGGTGAGATGCTTCTTTCTTGTTCTTACATTCATTACACGTTTCTTATCGAATTGTTGATAGCACTGATCATCATAATACAAATATAGTATCTTGCCTTTTTGTCCATGATTAATATGATCGTGAAGTTTGTTCTTTTGCTTTGTTTTTCTTTTTGGCTTGGCTTTGTCGGTGGATGATTGTTTTTTAGCTTGTGTGGTCCTTCTTGTTTTGCGAGGTTTGTTCTTTGGCTTGTATTCTTTTTCTTGTTTTGATGGAGTTGGTTGATTCAATGTTGATAATGTATTCTCATCTTTCTCAACTGGTGGATCGTTAGTTTTCTCAACTGATGGATTTTCTCTAAAGGTGATTGCGTCACATAGATGATGTTGTAAAGATTGTAACAAGTGATGCGAATGATCTAATGGCTTCCGTGCCTTTTCTTCGCAATTTCTGTTCTCTTCATTTCGTATATATTCATTAAGTTTGGAGTTTAATTGTTTGAGGGTAGCTGAAATGTAATTCGCTTGTTGTTCAATTCTTTCCAAATGTCTTTCCAGGCTGTGGAGCATGCAAGAGTCAATTCTGATGTTCATCTTGCGGTATTTTTTAAGGGCTCGAGTCCAAAAAAAAATGTCCAATCACCTCCATCCAAGACTCCACCTTCGGGATACAGAAATCATGCCCCATGATTCATTCATTAACGACGGCCTTGGTGGTGTTTCAGATTATGTAAAAAACAAGAAACAAAAATTAAATCAACAAATCATGATGGGAAATGATGTAAAATTGATCATTCTTGATTTTTCAAATTCCTCTTCTTTTGGTGAAAATTGTGATGAGAATAATCTTCGGAAATTGGAATTATTATTGCAATGGAAATTCTCAATGCAACAAGAAGGGAAGAAGAAATGGTTATTGAACCGAGAATTGAAATATAAACATTTCTTTCCTGTTGAGTTTATGAATGACAAGGAATTTGTTTTGAATCACATCAAAAAGTATGGTTATGGATTGGAATATGCATC